CTAAACAAGATGGTTAAGATGGAAGCATTTTGATAGATGATGGTAAAAATGACCTTCTGTATCTTTCTTTGTTACAGATCAGAAGCATAATTATGTGTTCCAACGTGGTGGAATAAGACGTTCGTCAATTTTTGGGCATGTTCGGTTACTGGTATCATCTTAAAGCCTGTTCGTTTGTCTTTCTTTTGGGGAAAAAACATCCATCTATGTTGAATAGAAGTCCAAATATTTGCAACTGAAGGAGGTCAGGGTCAGCTGGTTTCAGAGGTGAAATCAGCGAGAAAATGGCCGTCAAAATTTGGCAATTTCCATAGCTTGAGAGTCCTTGGAAACTGAAAATTGACATTTTTGTGCCTTTAATCAATGTTTTTCAGTAAATCCACCCAGAAATGTGGTTTTAAATGGACATGAAAGGTGTTGAGCCAAAAAAAGGAAAAGAAAATGTGAAAAAATATTGTCCAAAGGTCCGGAAAATGCCACAATTTTTTTTATTTCATTATTTTGAAGAGCGCTTGATTCCACCACGACACCTCACATCGCTACTCTCCTATAACTCTGCAAAAATACCCAAAGATTCTAGATCACAAAATGGTTCGCTCTTCTCTTTGAAAATGTTTTTATAAACGTCATCAGAATTGTTGGTGGCGACACCTGAGAAGAAAAAAAAGGGGACTTGGCGAACATAATAAGCTGTCTGTGGACGTACAAAATATATACGTGTGTGTGTTTGTGTTTTTACGGTTGCAGGCGCGCGCGTGCGTGTTGTGTGGTGCGCGCGCGCGCGCGTGTGTGTGTGTGTGTGTGTGTGTGCGTATGTGTGTGTGTTTGTGTGTGTGTATGTGTGGCCTAGAGGTTAAGGTGTTGGCCTCTCATTCAATAGGTCCCGGGTTCGAGCCCGGATAGCGACGGACATTTTTCTTCTCTAATAAAGTGTCTCCTTTTACCTCCTTTCTTGCTGTTCAGCAATGTTTAGTCGTCTGCTTTCGTCTCCACTTTCTGCCCCCACCCCCTCACCTCCTCTGCCCCTTCTTCTGGGCTCCTGGCTCTTTCTGCAGCCTCTCTACTGCTACTCCTCGGCTCCTTCTTACTGCTGTCTTTCTGCCACACCCCTTATCTTATGGTAGGAAAGATCTACAC